TCTGTATATATAATAAGGGAGTTCTATAAATAGTCCGCATAAGTATACATTGATTCAGCATGACAGAGTTCTATTTATAGAGCACATAAAGCGTGCATCAATGCATAACGACATAGTTGTATTTGTAGAGCCACCCCTACATCACAGAGTGCATCTGTCCCTTTGTTTAGGGTTTTCGTGTTTTGGTGGTACATGTGATGTAACGTTGGCTGCAACGGTGTGTGTGGCCTTGTGATGGTGTCGTCCGTAGTGCGGCATAAGGCTGTGCCTTGGTTTTGGGTACACGCTGAGTGTGATTTAAAGTTTTAGGGTTTTAGGGCTAAACCCTAAAACCCTACCACGGGTTGTGTGGCATTGAGCTGACAAGGTGTCTAGTGCCGTGTAGTGAGTGCTGTCTCTTGGCTTGCACCGTAGCCATGCTGTGTTATATAAACCCTTAACCCTAAACCTGAGACCCTACCCTTGCAGTCATGTCGTAGCGTGGACTGCAACAACCGCTTACCTTCAAGCAGATGACCTGTGGGGTTGCATGGGTTAGACACCATCACACCTCCCAGGCCCAATTGAAGGATTTGTCTGTGAGAGTGAGAGTGTGAGTGTGTATGTGAGAGGGGGCGGGGAGAGAAAGTGTGTGTGTGAATAAGAGGGGTTTTTGTGGTTTGGGACAATGTATGTATGTATGTATGTGTGTGTGTGTGTGTGTGTGTGTGTGTGTGAATGAGAGGGATAAGAGTGCAGCTGTATGTAAGGTGCAGATTAACATGCACTCGAGAGTTAGGAGGTTGTGCGATGTTGCACCCAGACACAGTCAGTTGAGTGCACACACTCCTTGATCTATGTACCATCACTAGGACAATCGAACTGTACACAAAACCCTAAAACATATAGTATGAAATGTGGGTCAGAGTCGACCTACAACGCAAAGCCATGGAGAGCTTAGGGTTGTAGGGTTGCAGGATTTAGGGTTTATAAGCCTTAGTACTAGTTGTAGGGTTGTAGGGTTTAGGTTTATAAGCCTTAGTGCTAGAACTGTGCAGAAGAAAGGGACGTTGACAGCGCATTCGGTTCTCTTTGTATGTGCACAGACCACAAGACACTCGAAACCCCTAAACCCTAAAACTAAAAATTGGCAACACACTTGCACCTTTTTAGAAGACATGTTGTTTATGACTAGAAGATATAGAATCATGCGACATATATAACTATAAATATACGACATGAAACTATACGACATATACACACACCACAACACACTCGAAAGTGGCAACACACTTGCGCGTGGGAAGAAGAGATGTTGTTTATGACTAGAAGATATAGAATCATACGACATATATAATTATAAATATACGACATGTAACTATACGACATATTTAGTTAGAAGTATGAGACATATATTTAAATGACATAGGAGTATACGACATGTACAATTATAACTATAAGACACACTTATATGACATACATAAATATAACTAAACGACATATAACTATACTACATCTAACTATACAATATATGTAAATAATATTATAAGGCATGTAACTATACGACATACACAATTATAACAATCCGATATAAACTAATACGACATGTAACTATACGACATATATAATTATACTATGAGACATATAACTATACGACATATTAAATTTAGATATACGACATACAGTTATAAGACACAACTATACGACATACATAAATAGTACAATAAGGCATATAACTATGCTACATATAACTATACGACATAAAACTAGACGACATATAACTATACGACATACATGAATATAACTATACAACATATATAAATATATAACCACTAAAACATATATAATTATAACTATGAGAAATGTAACTATACGACATACACAATTATAACTATACGACATTCATAAGATAGACTGTTAAACAGGTCATAACAATACGACATACACAGTTATAACTATACGACATACATACGATATACTGTTTCTCAGGTCATAAATATACGACATCTACAGTGATAACTATACGACATACACAGTTATAACTATACGACATACACAGTTATAACTGTACGACATACATACGATATACTGTTCAACAGGTCATAACTATACGACATACACAGTTATAACTATACGACATACACAGTTATAACTATACGACATACACAGTTATAACTGTACGACATACACAGTTATAACTGTACGACATACATACGATATACTGTTCAACAGGTCATAACTATACGATATACACAGTTATAACTATACGACATACATACTATATACTGTTCCTCAGGTCACATAACGACATACTGTTCTAGCTGTGCAGGGGTGACGTGTGTGGCGCCCTTATCCTTTGCAATTGGAATAGGATTGATTCGTCTGGAGAGGAGAAATGAGACCAAACAACTCACCAATGAGTGGAATGTGCATCAGAGGTGTATGTGACACACACTGTTTTAGGATTTTAGGGTTCAAAAACTCTAAACCCTAAAAGACTGTTCCCATACAACTGCGGTTATCACAACCATGTACGTATGCGAAGGGCTGCTAAAGCCTCTGGTCTTGATGAAAACGTATGCGTCACTGAACACTCGCAGGGTTTTGGGTTTAGGGTTTTAGCATACCCTACGTCTTTTCCAGAGCAGATACACATGTATTAATATAACGGAAGGCTTTTCAAAAATACACATGTGGTCATTAATAAGCTATTGATGAGACTACTGATTGTTTCAGTCCATTATATCTTATACTCATGCATGTTTATGCTTGCGTTTACCAATACGGATACATGTGACACGAACGAGGAAACCATCCATATATGCACATGCATACGACACACACACACAAACATATATATATATATATATATGTGCGTGTATATATATATATATATATATATAATATATGTGCGTGTATATATATATATATATATACATATATATATATGCGTGTGTGTGTGTGTGTGTATGTATACATTTATGTTTATATGTATATATATACATATACGTACACATATGCATATACGTACACATATGCATATACATATACATATACATATAATATACATATATATATATATACTCATCCGACATAAGCATCGCTACATGGCACATCCTACATGCCTATCGAGTGCTTCGACATACTCAGTAGATCGCATAGACCTAATTACTCTCTGAGATCGATACATTGCCCACCTCAAAAGTGGAGTGTATCAACCCGATTCCAAGGTCTTTAAGGGTATCAGGATTTTTAGGGTTCTAGGGTTTGGCACATACTTGAACAGACCCAGCAGCTCTTCGTAGGCCGTGTAGTCAGGCACTCCATAACCCACATTCAGTGAATTCTGCGCAGATACGGAGGTTACAGCCCATGGCATGATCAATGCGAACGCCTCTCATTGATTATGTGTATGTGGTATTGTTATATTGATTGTGTGTGTGTGGTATTGTTATATTGATTGCGTGTGTGGTATTGTTATATTGATTGTGTGTATGTGGTATTGTTCTATTGATTGTGTGTGTGTGGTATTGTTATATTGATTGTGTGATGGTATTGTTATATTGATTGTGTGTGTGTGGTATTGTTATATTGATTGTGTGTGTGATGGTATTGTTATATTGATTGTGTGTTTGGTATTGTTATATTGATTGTGTGTGTGTGGTATTGTTATATTGATTGCTTGTGTGGTATTGTTATGCTCATGTTTCTCATTGATTCCTTGTTTACAGCACACCTTACATACACGAACTAGTATACATCGATATGACGTCCTTAGACGTGAGAGTATACGTAAATGGGATGTCGTCATTTATATATACATAAACACATTTACATATACATACAATTACTTAGCACATTTACATATACATCCACATACACATCAGCATATTTACACCCATTGGAAAAACACAATCCACAAAATGAACACACCACAAACGCACTCACCCAGACAACCCATGACACACAACCGTACACACCACAAACTAAAAAACCTAAAACCATAGACCCTAAATCTGGCCACACCACCTACCAGACAGGCCATGACGCGTGTAATGCCTGCTCTACCCCCAGGAATGATACACACATTGTCTTTTGTGTACTTGCTAGTGCTATCCATGCGGTACAGCTGTGGCAGACGGAGTGAGGTTGTGTACAAGAGTGAAGGTAGTGTAAGAGTAGTAGTTACATCTGTGAGTATAAGTAGTACAGGTGACATGTATGGGAAGTGGTATTCGTTACATCTATGAGTATACGTAGGATAGGTGACATGTATGGGTGTGAGTAGTATTCGTTGCATCTGTGAGTATAAGCAGTAATAGTTACATCTGTGAGTATATGTAGTATAAGTGACATATATGGATGTAAGTAGTATTCGTTGCATCTGTGAGTATAAGCAGTATGGGTGACCTGTATGGATGTAAGTGGTATTCGTGGAATCTGTGAGTATAAGTAGTATAGGTGACATATATGGGTCTAAGTAGTATTAGTTACATCTGGTCTGCGCCCACTCAACCAATTGGATGACTGCGCATGCGCGTGTGTTGTAGTGTGTGTATGTGCATATACCTTATAGTGTGTGTGTGTGTACATATCTTATAGTGTGTGTGTGTGTGATATAGTATGCGCGTGTGTGTATTATAGTGTGTGTATTATAGTGTGTGTGTTGTAGTGTGTGTCATAGTATGTGTGTGTGCGTGTCTAATAGTGTGTGTGTGTGTATTATAGTGTGTGTGTGTGTATTATAGTGTGTGTGTTATAGTATGTGTGTGTGTGTGTATTATAGTGAGTGTGTATTGTAGTGTATGTGTTATAGTATATATGTGTGTGTGTATTATAGTGTGTATTGTAGTGTGTGTGTTATAGTATGTGTGTATGTGTGTATTATAGTGTGTGTGTATTATAGTGTGTGTGTATTATAGTGTGGTTGTTATAGTATGTGTGTGTTGTACGTGCCTGGTTGTAGTGTTCGGCTACAGCTTCGCACAGTTCAGGGAGTCCTTGCACAGGTGCGTATTCCTGGTGCTCGATGTCGAACTCCACTGATGTCAGTCGCTCTGGCTGGTTGGGTAGAGTGCCACTGTGTGGGGGGGGAGGGGGGGGTCTATATTGTGGGGAGTGTTTTAGGGTTTAGGGGTTTCAAGGTTTTAGAAGTCCTTAGTGTGTAGGTGTAGGTCGGTTGAAGCGAGGAGTAGGGTTTATATGTATGTGATAAAAGAGCATGAACTAAGACCTTAAACCTCTTAAGGGTAGAGGGTGCAAACTTTGATTAAGGCATATGTCACATACATATAACAACACAACCATCACATACAAATACTAACATACCTGCATGCAACACAATCACACACACACTACAAACATACATGAAACAAAACACACACATACTACAAACATATATCAATAAAGCACACTCACACACTACAAACACGCATGAAATAAAGCACACACACTCTCTGTCTCTCAGTTGAATATGACGAAGGCAACACAGATAGGTGTAATGTCATCCCAGATAGGTGGCTGTGACAGACGGTCATAATCTTCACAGCAGAAGTATACAAACACACCTGCGCACAGGAACTGTATGTCATTTGGTCACCGGAGACGTACGCTCACAGATGAAGGAATAAACATGCACATTACACACAATCTCAACTCAGCCAGTCACGCAACTATACACTTACGCCGATAGTAACACAGTACAAGCAGATGAGGTAGACTACACAGTACAATCAAATGAAGGACTTAACTGGTGTAGCCACTACGTGCACATGTATAAACAGACATCTCTCATACCAAATAGGGTTTTAGGGTTTTATCTCATACCATTCGGGTGCGCCTTGGCCCATATTAGCCCAGTCTGGTGCATCAGGATGGTACCCCATCTCCACAGCACGCGATGTGGCATACTGTGTTGTGTAGGAGAAAGCATGTCTCAGTACAGAACATACATCTCATATCAGATATATAACATACATCTCTTATCAGATATATGATATACATCATATATCAGATATATAACATATATCTCATATCAGATTTATAATATACATCATATATCAGATATATAACATATATCTCATATCAGATATATAATATACATCATATATCAGATATATAACATACATCTCATATCAGATATATAATGTACATCATATACCAGATATATAACATACATCGCATATCAGATATATAATATACATCATATATCAGATATATAACATACATCTCATATCAGATATATAGTATACGTCATATATCAGATATATAACATACATCTCATATCAGATATATAATATACATCATATATCAGATATATAACATACATCTCATATCAGATATATAATATACATCATATATCAGATATATAATATAAATCTCATATCAGATATATAACATACATCTCATATCAAATATACTGCGCCTGTAGTAGTTGGCTTCCCCCCTAAGGTCAAAGATGAGTAAACCCTATCCCATTCTGTCGTACGTCACACATCAGGGCTGGTCGTATTATGATGTGAACCCGAGCTAAACCCTAAAACCCTAAAACCGAGGATTTAAACTCATATGCTCAATCACGCATGCGGGCAGTCACGAAAACGTATACACCACTTACAATGACATCTGATTCATTCACGAAAACACTTACACCACTTACAAAGGCAATTGTGCCAGTCACGTAAACGTTTACACCACTTACAATGACACCTGTTTTTGGAACCTTCCGGAAGTGCTTGCCTGTGAATGTCGGGTTCTCTAGAAATTGGAAACGGAATTGCAACAAATAATGAGCGCTTTGGCACAAATTTGAACCACGAAAAAAAATGGATTGCCCAAAAAAATACCGAGGCGCAGCAACGGAAGAATACGTAGGAATGGACGATATACTGTTAGCACTAGATATGCCTAAGTGTGATTTTGGAATGTGTCCGAAGCAATACGCAACGAGTACCGAACAAAGAACACCACCTCCGGTCACGATGCATGACCGCGACCAATAATCTTGTATATAAAGTAATGTGTACTTTGAACATTCCTGTGTATAAAGGGATGTGTACTTCGACCGTCCAAGTATATAGATATATATATATATGTATAGATATAGATATAGATATAGATATATATATATATATGTGTGTGTGCAAGTAATTATGTATGTATGTATGTACGTATATATATATATATATATATATATATGAATGTGTGTGTTGTTGATGTGCGTGTGAGC